TTGTTTATTTGTATTTCATATTGGTCGTCTGTCTCAGCAATTCACTGGAGTAATCAAATGAAGATATCCAAGAACTGCAAGTATTCTCGCTGTCTAACAGAGATGCCGTTAACTTACTCGCTCATCCTTCCCATTAACAGGAGTCCCTGTGCACTATTTTCATTTCGTACTTACGTATTCGAACCTTGTACGTGAAAGTTGACTTAATCAGCAACTTGTGCGTTCACCGGACTCGGATATCTGAGTCTGACAAGGATAGTATCTCAAATTCTGCGTCAGAGAAAGCATATCAGACTACCCTAACCGATGTCCTTTTAACTAGTTCAGCGGGTGCGTTGACTGGAAAGATTTATCGCGGTGGGATTAAGTTAATAGGTAAAACTCGTGCCACTGCGGTTTTCAGGCCCGGTACCGCAGGCGAAGAGAAGAATTATGACACCAGTTGGAATGAATTGTTTATAAGTAGTTTATAAGTAGTAGAGAATAAGAAGGCTGAAGTTGATTATCGGACGAGCGTATATCTGCATCCCATCGGGGCAACATCCGAAGAGTATGAGTGTGGCGTTCATCACAGCGTCCACAAAGCGACCCTTTTGTGAGCCAGCCTGGGAGGTGATTGGCCACACTTTGGGAGGGGTGTCAGTGTGTGGATTGGGGGTAACCAGCTGCGCGTTTTATGCCACCTGTCTTTTAACAGTTCGCATATTTTTCCCCTCGTTACTCAAACCTTTGGCAGCCGCTTTCGTTTGATGCTAAGAGCGGTCGTATTCTAGATATTCTGCAGGACCGCTTTCAAACTCCTTCTCTACATACATGTAGCGACGCCGAAGGCAGGGCTGAAGCCTAAAAACATGAGTAGCAAAGCGGTCGGGAAAGTGTACATGGCGACCACTGCAGGTAATGTGAGCCGGAGGCGCAGGGCAAGAGTGGGTAGCAAAAGGAATGCTGGAGTTCAATTCGGAAGGAGTGTTAGCGTTTGAGGAAGTAGCAGTAAGGTTGGAGGTGGGTGCAGTAACAGGTTGCGGTTGCGGACAGGAGGGAAGCGGCAATAGGCAGGACAGTGGAATAGGGGGTTGAGGAGGAGGGGAAACAGGGAGCAGAAGACCAGAGGACTCGTCCAGCGAAGTGTCCGGGACAGCACCTTTGAGCCGGTCAACGCTCACGACCTCCTCGCGCGTACCACGCTGGATGTGGTAGGTGTTCGTCCCTCGCGAGATGACACGAAAGGGTCCCTCGTAGGGTGGCTTTAAGGGCCGCCGTACTCGATCACATCGTAGAAAGACGTGAGAGCAGGTCGCCTAGTCTTTCTCGAGATAAGACTCGGAGACAGAGGGCCTAGGCGGAAACAGGGATAGTGTCCGCAGAAACTGCGGAAGGCGATGTGCTCGTGTCGCATGTTATAGCGTCGACCACGGAAGGCTTCCCCAAATCAAGGCAGGCCGGACAGAGTTGATGGGACAACTTCTTTACTTTGGCAAAAAAGAATTGAGCAAGCTGAATCGGGAGCCAATTGCTTGCTGCGTCCGTTCACCAGGCCTCAGTACTGAAGCGTGTTTCTGCCAGCTCTGACCACAAATCCGGCGCATACCAGTAATCAGCGGT